CGAGTTCAGTCGAAATATCATTGATGTACAGAAGAAAGAGTAGCGGACCCAGAACCGTTCCTTGAAGTACGCCACACGTGATCGAGTGGGGTGTCGAGTAGCTATTACCGACCATGACTTTCTGATATCGGTTGGACAGATATGACCTGATGAAATCGAGTAGAGGCGGTCGGATGCCGAGTGCTTCCAATTTTACTAAAAGACGTCTATGGGGCACCTTGTCAAAGGCTTTGCTAAGATCAAAGTAAATAACAACCACTGACTGCCGCTCATTACGAAGAGAAGTGCTGAGATTAAGAAAAGCCAAGTGGCATGTTTCGCAGGATCGTTCAGGTAAAAACCCATGCTGACTACAGCTCAGAAGCCGATTAGCTAGACAGAAGTCAAGAATTTCATTGAAAATAATCCTTTCAAGAAGTTTTGCTAGAGACGGCGTTTTGTGCACGCCCCAATAGTTATTAACATCGGACCGAGATCCTGACTTGAAAACGGGAACGATAATTGACGTTTTCCATGTTTCAGGAAAGAATCCTTTTGAAATATAAACCGAGAATAAATGACTGAGCAATATGGGAAAGTCGGACGCTTGTGTGTAATAGGTCAGAATTCTCCGAGATCTATCAGCCTCACGTTTCCACACATCCCTTTGTCATTTGTATTCCCCAAGTGTTCAAATTCCTCAGTTAGTCGGCAACGTCTCCACACCTTGTCTTTTTCTCTTAAAAGCTATTCTCGTTTCCCGGTTTATCAACGGAGGACGATTGCGCGGTTTTTTCGTCTGAGTAGATAGTTTAAATTAAGGATTCTTTGAGCCAACGAGCCGAATATGCTCCAGTAGCTATTAACTGTTCCTTGCAATGCGATTACCCACCGTGTTGCTGAAAAGAGTAGAATAGAATAGGTTTATTATAGCGCCCCTTGGGCACTGTCAGTCTCCCTTGAACACAGGAAAAACCCTAAAACAAACTTATCCATTTCGATTGCACTTTGACTTCATTTGTTTTGGGTCTGTTTAGCCAATAGAGCGCGCATTGAGAGTTCGTTTTAAGTTAACAAAAACCTGAGTTCCAAAGAAAAGTAATCACAAAAATTTTAGGAAAGAACGATATGTACAATACAAAAGTTGAAGTGTGCATTCGCATGCCAGAAAACCTCCTTTTCCGATATCTCCTTTCGTTTTTTAAGATGAGTCAGGTCGGGGGAACATGATGTACTCGGAGTGCATTACAATATTATCAGTAGCACCTACTGGCCGGAGATCTTGTACGTCGGCACTCTCCTCATCTCGAGTAAGCACCAGGTCAGCGAAGTTTGAGCGCTGCTCCTCCCTAACACCTGTTCCGAGAGTTACATTCATCCATTGCGATTTCGAGCAGATGATGTTTCAAGGTATCCGATGGACCCAAACCACCCAAGCCTGCCAGTTAGCATTAGAAACTTTAAAATCCCCAACGATAAAGACATCTCTGTTTGGGCAGATCTTGTTCAGTTCCGCCAGGAGAAGTCTATTTTGCTTGGTACTTCTATTTCGGAGTGGTATGCAATTGCAAACGTCAGCGGTCGAGCGCATTTAGTGCAGATATTCCGAGATAAGAATTCCACTTTTGTTGTTGTCATAGGATATTTTCCAGGAATCGCGGTTAAATTATAGCTAGCATGAACATTGATACCTCTTCTTCAGCTTTTCTTATCTTTTCTAAACAGTTGATAACCTCTCCGAGATGCTTCTTGCTCTTCAACAGTTTCAGGAAACCATTTTATGTCAAGGCAAAGAAATCTTGCATGTGCTCGTCAACCAAAGTCCTGAATTCATACACTTAGTCACACAGGCTATGTACACTCGAGTTTACCAACTTTAATGTCCATCTTCCCGGTAGGGACTTGCCTTGATTACAAAAGAACTTAGTACAGGAACTATCAATTGATCTGTATTATCCTCCCTTCTCTTATTTTTAGACATTTCTCCCCCTCTTGTTTACTCCTCTTCAGCTCTGACCGGGGCTCTATCATTTTGTGTCTTTCTGTCGGTTCGTAATTCGGCTGAAAAGCACCTCCTTTTGCGAATGACGAAGGGCCGTTCTCCCTTCTAGGGTATGTAAAGCCTGAACTTCATTTTCGAAAACGATTTTAAGAGGCCTTGATGGGGAAAGCCCACGCGATGCATCTGCGTTTCATAGACGGAAATGTCTGTGCACTGTAACATATTTTCAACCCTGAAGGACGGCATCTGAATTTACTCGAAAGGGGTTGAGACTATGTTCGACACTTTCTTTTGAAATCGGTCAGGCATACGCTTTATGACGATTTCTCTATTGCGATCAAGTAGAGGACCCTGGCATTTATTTTTATACACAGCAGCCATATTGTGCAACTGCTTTTGTCATCATCGTTCGATTCAGAAAGAGCTGTCATGGAGAAGCTGCGTCAGGTTCCTCACCTACCGAGGCTACTTGGTTATGCGATGCCTCCTTCGGCTGTGCGGTGTTCGTTTGCGTTGCGTGAAGACTCTTCTCTCTCACACTGACACGGCAGCCCACCTTGATTTATTGGAATGCCATGGAACGCTTATTCGTTTGCTGAGATCACAGTATATACCAACAGTCATGTTTTCTTCTACTCTCTGAGGCCTCCGAATTATCCCGTTCAACACCGCTGCAGTACACATACTACCGAGCAGATTATAGTTGAGTGCGCTTTTGGGTGGTGCTCATTATCTCAGTAAATGCGATTGAGTAACAGTGTCATAAAGTCAGGGGCACTTTTTCCTTATGAGCACTGAGGACGGAAAAGCGGAATGATCCCATGAAGCAGCCGACGGTTTCGTAAAGACTTCGCCACTTAGACATCGTTAACCTTAAGTCAGTTTAAGTCAGTTTATTAAGGGAATGAGGCTTTCGCCCTTGAGCACCCTATTCATATCGATAAACAGAAATAAAGTCATCAATTATATCAGCAAATGCGAAAAGTTAAGAAGTTAGCGGTAAGTGTGAGCTAGGCGCAAACTGCCGCCGCTAAAACAATCATTATTGTATGTACCGTAGGTTCTCAACAAGTGAGCGTCTAGTCTGCACTTAAAGGATTTGACACTTTCGGAAAGAACGACGGCATCAGGGAGTCCATTCCATGCCCCGATGACCCTGTGTGAGAAGGCGTTCCGTCGGACGTCCGAATGAGCCCGCTTCCTTTGCAGTTTGAACGGATGACCACGCAGACGGTCAGTCCGGGCCAATTCAAAGAATTCATCAAAATCTAGGGCACACTCACGGCTTCTGACAATCCTGTAGGTTTGAATGAGATCGCCGCGCAGTTGCCTGTAATTTAGAGGAAACAGATTTAGTTCGGTCAGCCTGGTTTCGTAAGGCAAATGATGAAGATTCTTGACCATCTTCGTAGCCATCGCCTGTACTCTTTCCAGTCGTTGATAATCTTTCTTTAACCACGGTCGCCAGGCCTGGACTGCAAACTCTAAGTGAGACCGGACGAATGCCCCATAGGTTTTTCCGAACAGCTCCTTGTCGATCTGCACAAATCCTCGCCTCAGCGCAAATAACACCCTTATCGCACTTTTGGCTGCCCTTTGACACTGTGAAGCTGGTTTCAGCGAGGAGGTCATTAGGACTCCCAGGTCTTTCTGTTCCACAACATTTGAAAGGGACTGACCACCAAGGACATATTGAAAGGAATCGTCCTCCTTGCGTTAATGATGTTCCTGGGAGCTTGAAAATAAACTGCTTACTACCAGGATAGAGTAAGTTATGTCCCTCGATGCGGGCCAATACAACTGCTGATCCCCAATTTTGGCGTGAACCGGCCAACGACGTCTTCTCCAAACCCAACCCAGACCTCTCTGGAACAGTTAGTACTGAACGACATATCATTATTTGCCTAACAAGTCTTCAGAAATGGTAAGATAATAGGACCCGACCATATAGTGTTCGGGACGTAATTAGGCATGCACCCAGAAATAAGACGTTTGCCACGCACATTTGCAAAGATCGACAAAAGTCAAGTAATCCGTCTCCAAGGTGTTCTCCGAAGAACTATTCATAAAACCAAAGAGGTCGAAAAACTGAAATCATTTGGGTAATTAACCGTGAACCACAGCCCTGATGAGCCCGAAATGTGAACACCTTTAGTAATATTTTACTAGGCTGAAATCCGGGAGGGAAGGGTAACGACCGTCGAATATCCGGAAGGTCGACTGTTTGCGATGGCGGAGCTGTTTCTGGATTCTGCCATTCGGTTCTGGGTTTTTCTGCCTATAGTAATAATTACATTTTTGTTTGGAGTGATTCGACACTATCTAATGATTACACTTACTTCCAACAAGAAGTCTGATCTTCAGGGCGTGTCGGACAGGTAAATATGCGTTTACCTGATTGTCCCAGTCACGCGCTCATTCGGAGCCGACTATTGAGAGAAAATGGAAACTTTATTACGCGCAACGTATGATTCGTTAAAAATTTACTCTTTTGCTAGGGATTTAAAATGAGAAAACACTTTTTCAACGACAAAGAAGTAGGCTATTTCAAGGTTCAAAAGCGCGAGAACGCAATAAAAAACCCGATTTCCGGTACGTCAATGGATTTTCGTCATGTGTTTTAAAAAGACCCTACGATGCTTACTGACATGCTAAAGGGAAATATTCTCAACGTAATGCCAATGTTAGTAATTGGCGGCTGGATAAATTGGGCATTTTCGGGATTTTTGACGACAAAAGTGCCATTTCCACTTACGCATAGATTCAAACCTATGTTGCAACGTGGGTGTGAGACTCTTGTGTCGTTGGATGCGTCTTGGTAAGTTGCTTAAGATTCTAGTTTTGCCTTAGGGTGAGCTCCGCGTCCTGGTATTTTCTGAACATATTTGGACTACGTAGCTTGCACGGTCTTGTCTTGGGATCTGACAATGCTGCGGACCAAACTACCATGATGCAGGAACAGGTTATGGCGCCTACCCAAGCTCCACCAGACATGCAGAAAGCTTTCAAGTCCGAGTGGGAAGCGGTCGAAGTCGTTGAACATAATTGGGCACTTAAATGTTGTGAAAAAAAACTCTTGTGATTTATTTGATTATTTTGTTTTGTACTGGCTAAGTCAGTTCGATTCCCCTCCAGATTCTGGATGTGGAACCAATGTTCAATGGTTTTATTCAATGGTTTGGTGCCTAATCATGTGGATCATTTCTTTGGCGAATATACTGAGTGTTTAGAACGGTATTCAAAATAGCACATTATTAATCATGCAAAGGAACTGACCGTTATGGCTCCTGAACTTTCCCAGTGTGTTTTTATTCACGCCTGACGCGATAGGATGACTTTTTTGAACAAGAAGAACAAGGTTCTTGGGAATGTCTAGCGCCTTACTTTAGAATTTGTCAACGTTTTCTGTATGAATTATGCTATGGCGTCGAGTCTCCTTGATCTCGGGGAACAGTTGATTGATAATTTTGTTATGATAGGCAGAAACGGAGTTATTCGTAACAATTCGGAAGCTTCTTTATCATGAGCTGACTAATGTATTTCCTTGTTTCTTAGTCTCATACAGTCAGTGCGGTCTGGTGTTAGTCTGTCGTCTCACTGTTCTGCCTAAGGTCCTGTATGGCCATAGTATTAACGTAAGCGTTGCCGTACACTTCAGCTGCATCTTCCACAATGTCCTCACTAACTGTTCCACCTTTATGGATATTTGTGACGGGATTTGCCACAACTGACTTAAAACCAACTGTAAAGTATTATGCTATCAGGAGGACTAGGTCATATGCAATTGTGTTTCTTGCCATCATTTGGTCTACCGAAATAACATTTAAAATCGGACAAGTAATCCCGAAAGTACAATTTCTTGTTGGTGCTCAGGGTAAGCGTTTTTTTTAAATGTCAAACCAGTGCAAATGCTTGGCAGTTAGGCGAATTATTCACTCTCGACGTCGATCACAAATACCCACGTTTAAATTCAAACCAGTGCCACAGCGCCAGCGCAAAGTTGTGTCGCCTACCTTCTAACAAATTGTCTCGTCTTACAGTGATGCTTTACGGAAGGTCTGCGTCCTGGTGTTTTCTGAACTTATTGGGTTTTTGCAGCTTGCAGTTATTGGGATTCGAAAGTGTAGCTGACTATACTATCACCATATAGAACTAGCTATATCGTCCATTAAAGCACGACCGGGTTTTCTGGAGGTCCAAATCGGACTAGATGAGCGGAATTTGTGGACAAGAATGAGTTTTACATTCGGCTGGACGTACCTGTGTGGTTTGCCTTTTATGTTTCGTAAGTGACTGGGTTATTCTCATTGCATTTCAAATTTGAAGGTATGGGAGGAGTCTTTGGAGTCATATTTAGCCTGCAACTCTACTTTCCAGCTTTGATTAATTTTGGAAGTAGTTTATTTTGGTCATTGTCTCAGTAGGAACAGAGTGGCTATTTTAATGATCGACTTTTCCTTGTAAATTAACTCACATTCCTTCACGTATCCTATAGTAAACGGAAGGAGTGTCCTGTTTTTTTCATTTCATCAATGGCCTTAGCGGTTGGTTTGGCTAAAACAGACGGAAGTGGAGATTCGTGCTCCGGGAGTTATTTTAGAAGACTCTGTTAAGATCTCTGAAAAAGCAAGGGTATTTGTATAATGTATTGGACCCATAATTACAGCGAATCCTTTGCCGCCTTTACCGTCAACCATACTAGTTTGCTCACAAGTTTGTTCTGCACGGTCATTGGCTGGTTGGCGCTGCCGATGGCATTGGATGATGTGGCGTGCGGGTGGCCGACCCGACCTATTGGCATCTCAGTGATTAACCCTCGCAAAAACTATGTGTTCGCCCAGATACTGAACTCCCCTCTTCCGAGAGCTAATGTTCTACTAATTCCCTCAACTGTGAAAAATGGAAGTGAAGTCCGTCTTACCCAGCGCGTTCGTTACCGTTCTGACGTTTACGTCGATCGGCGGTCGGGTTGTCTATGCTGTCGACTTATACTACGTTTCCTCACGGCAGCCGTTATTATAAGACATGCACGAGCGAACTACTTACACATAGTGCGGCTGACATACGTCAGAAACAGAGCAAAGAACAAGTAGTTTGATAAAATACTGTCGTGGTTGAAACAGGCGAACAAGGCTGATGAATGGCTCTCCGTCCGATGAGAGGTTTGTTAGGACTTAAATGTGCCGGATTCGTTGCACGTGCTGGTTGTGGCACATAAACGCTCACGTGTAGTGTTTTGTCAACTTAACAGTCTGCTCGACGGCCGAGTATCTTAATGCAGCAAATGGGGTGTTCATGGTAGGTCTCAAAAGCTACTAGCAAGGCTCGGGTACTATTCCTAACAAAGATAGTGACATTGGCATTAGCACTACTGCCCAAACCCAGGACGTGCTGGTAATGCAGCAAATTATCCTTGAGCAAGACTCACCACTGTAGTATGTGTCTTCGTCATGTCGGCTGCGATGTGGGAGACCCAGTCGCATTAGTGACCTGCGCCGACCTACCTTCGTCGGCCGGAATTCGAATGTTCCACTTTGTCTGGAGTCACTGCTAAGCAACACTGCGCGTCACATAAGGACTAATGGCCAGTAATCGGGGATTGCCACCGACCGGAACAAATGCGATAGAATGACCACTTCTGACCCATCAACCAGTGATACGTCTGGGGAATCCAAACAGAGCGCTAGTAAATTGGCCACCAATGAAGGCTTTCGCCACCACACCAAGTGGGAAGCGTGTTCTTCGGCTTCTTATTCACAGGGTCTCAATGGCACTTTAATGTACATGGGACCCAAACAGCACACCTCTTTGCTCGAAGACTTGGTATGTTGTGTGGGAGTTTGGTCGTACATGACGCACGTAGGTGGTCTGTCTAGCTTCACCAGCAAATTGCGCCCAATACCAGCATCACATGACTGACCGGCACGGACAGTAGACTGGTGCCTGTGGTAGGGATTGGAGACAGGTCGGCCCTGGGATCTGTGTCCCCACGACACCCAGCGCATATGTCTTACTGTAAACAGCCTAACGCACTTTTAAACTATCAGAGTGACCAGGAAACCTGCCAAATGACGAGATAACTCAGCCAACTTCATAGGACGGAGAGTCAGGCTGCAGTGTCTTCCTAATGCACTCGCTATGGTACTCCCACTCAGTTGAGATTCAATTCCTCTTTGTTTCTGTGAAGCGCGGACCGGCGGTGTGGCACGCGCAGATGGTTGTTTAACCTTGTCATTTTACTGCACCTGATCACGCCTCCGGTCTTCTTGGCTGTTCTGACATCAGGCTTAGGGGCGTGAGGGAGGATAGAGTGGGGTAGGCGCTGCACAAATTTACTACTAGTGGTATAGTTCGACCGTCGTTGCCGACGATGTCCACTGTGTGTTCCACAGCAAAGTGAAGCAGGGGCGGTGACTTGAGCGTGATTTAGTTTATAGTGATAGTAGGCTTGCACATCATCTACCGCACTCTCTCCTCCCTCACTTGGACCCGGTGTCAAGACAGAGTCAAGAAGACCGGGGGCGGAGGAGGGCGCAGGTGGATGGCACGGTCGAGCCCACACCTTGACGCTCCATTCCGATCCCCCTGGTCCACACAGCAAATGACCAAGATTTTACTCAACAACAAAAGGGAGGAGGGGTTGGCAGGGGTCTCAATGTGCGCAATGTCATTCGGCAACTTGGTCTGCCACTGCACCCCCGAGATGTCGACATTTGTTATGGTGCGCACTCCGGTAACGCCCGCCATAATCCAATATGGCCCCTGTGTTGGTCCAGCGAATCTACCACGTGGCTCGTTTGAGGGGCAGAATGCGCGTGGTATACACTCAGTAACTCGCGCACCGGAAGTCAGGGACTGTCCAGTTGTAGGGTTCAGGAGCAACGGTGAATACCATACCAGAACATATTACGTCTGACTAAACGAATAACTCGGACAGATGCTGTACTGCGGCAGATTAAAACCCCAGCGCCGCCTTCACCTTCGAGTAATCTGCGAATGACACGGCATGGTGAAGTACAGGAGACAATATCTATCAACATCGTCCGGTGCGTGTATATGGCTATAAATGCCGCATGTGATGCGCTCCTCCTTGCAGAGTCGCTGAAATGACCTATTGAAATGCTTCAGTAAACACGTAAAAGCTGCCAGTGAACAGATGAGCTTAATCTTCTAATGGGCACTGACAATTGCAATACGTTTTTATAGTGATGCATTCAGATCGGACCCTTGAGAACAACGAAATCTGTGCATAATAATAGCGTCCGGAGTTCCGTGGCACTACAGCTGTCAAGTTCACTCACGCTTCTCGACCTCTGTGAACTCAGCAGGCTAGGTGCTGTTACAAAACAGTCTCTTGCTACACTGTGAACCGATGGGAATGCTGGTCTGCATTTAATACGTGCGGGGCTTCTCAAGCACACATGCGGTTTTTTCTTAGTAACACTCAAGTTCCTTAAATGTGTGGGAAACAAAGGAAGACCTGAAATCAAGGCAAAATGGTGGTCTTCCGACTCGATGTTTGCGCGGAACATATGGCATGATATCTTCCCCTTTCTTCGGACTCCCATCCGCTCTCGTGTAAACACCTCATACTCGATATAGATTATATGCTAAGAATGCCGCACCTTTCGCAGTCTTCCAGGGCGTTCAAAATCTTAACCTGACCTGGCTGCAAAAGACGGTCACAACCGTCACTCGCAGTGTCTTCCCTATTTCTGGAGTTGACGGTCCCTCCGATTTTAGTGCGCTTATTCCACTGAACATCGAGAGACTTTGAGTGTCCACAGAATATACCCATGGGGAGCACTACATAGCGGAGCGGTTGACTAATTCCTCCTTTAATAGGTCACAATTCCAGTTTGCATTTCTTAGAAAGGGACAAGTAGTCGAAAACTAACTGCACTTCGATGAGTCCTGAGAGATATAATAAACCTGTGCTGCTTCTGATTGTTATAGGCAGTTGTAAACGCATACCAAGGTGTGTTTATTCGCTATTGGTCACTGAGACTGTACGATATATAGGCAGAATGGCATTACCGACAAAGACAGGGGAGACTGGAATGGCCATTTCTGGCTTATTAT